GAGCTAATCGAAAACAGGCTCCGTTGGTTCGGTCACGTGAAAAGAAGGCCCATCGAGTACGTTGGAAATGTGTCCCAAGCACTGATACTGCTGGGGAAGAAAAGAAGGGACAGACCGAAAAAAAGATGACACAACATCGTTAAGAACGATATGAAACTACGAGGAGTCTCTGAAGATCTAACGAACGACAAAAAATGAGGAGGAGGTTGACTCGATTAGCGGATTCCTGTTAAAGGAAAAAAGAAGACGATGAAGACATCGATAAGTGAGTCATAGAAAAACATTCACTTCAGAATGCGGACCTCAGTTTGCATAAGAGGTGTTCACGGGATTAGTCCGTGAGTAATTTATCGAACAGGATTGATATCCTTTTTTTAACCCTCAGTTCTACTTAGAATAATTTTTTGTGACAAAGTAAGGGCGTTCTTTACAGATCCTTACGCGTGTCATTCAACCTACAGTATGCATCGACCTCAGCGTTGCTGCACGAAGTTGAACCGTCGTTCCTAGTCTTTCATTAAAACTATAGTCTCCACGCGAAATGGCTGCATTTGCGTAACTCAGGAAAAGTACATAAGATATTTTCGAAAAGGATATTGCTTTCTCAACCCAAACGTCAGACAGTTTCCCCAGACTTTCTACCTGAAGCACGGTGGACATCCTTCTAGTTAACTCTGATCGGGTGATTCCATCAGTGACGATGATGAAACTGTGTTACTCAAATTATCCAGTCTCCTCCACCGTTTCACCTACCTGTTCCATTTGTAGGTCAGTTGTACCTTCTAGCTTGTTACTTCCAAGGGTTAAGGTAGAGGCCGGCTTTCACAGTCACGGAACGCATATGGAAACTGCCAGGTTGACCAAACCTCCACGGTACTCCCCAGCACAATATCATTTGCGTATTCGAGATCAGCGATAATCTCGCCGCATATCTTGAACTGTCTCTAAAACAAGACAACTGTCGTAGTCACTCTTTAGAAAGTCGAGAAGAGGTTGAACAGCAAGGCGAAAGTATATCTTTGTAAAAAAAGCGCTCTGATAGCATTCTTTCTGATTTAATGGGAGACATGATTCGTTCATACATCCCTTGCAAAATGGAAATTACGCTGTCAGATATTCCATAGCGCTTAAAGATTTTCCACGTGGATTGACAACGTGCTGTATCAAATAATACATTACCGTCAGCAGTCAATGAGGAATGTATGTCCAAGTGACCGCTAGTCTAAGATCACGGCTCAAGTCTTCTGCACTCAGTATGTTAAGTAGCTGAAATTCTTTAAATGCACTTAGAGTTTCGACACTAGCTCATTTGCAGTTACGACATGATAACTATATTCATCCACTCACACCCCGATGTAGCACCGTCCGTTATGTCAGCAAGCAGGTCATGTCAAAGCAAGTATTCCTTACTGCTAGGAAACGGAAGTGTGTTTTTTCCATGGTCATGTTGGTGATATCTGTTAACTTCAACCTAATTATAGATTTCGTCTGCTGCTAGTAAAGCAGCATATTATCAGGTTTAGAATA